TACATACAACAACACACACACACACACTACTATATATATATATATATATATATAAATTAATGCCAGGCGTATTCGCTCTGTTTTGTATATTGTGTTGTTCCTGAATTGTCTGCAATGCCGTGCGTGGCCGGTGTCATAGGTTCATAGGATTTTTGTTTTGTTTAAGAGTCTGATCTGTGACAGAGCGCGTTTATTATATATTTGTTTTGCTTGTTCGCCAACTACTTCAATATGCGTCACGAATGACCATCGAATTTTGGTCGATGTATTGTATCGTATATATTGCAGGACAATTCGACATGGCTTCCCGACCATCCTGAAGCCGGATACTCGCTAGATGTATGCGTACATCTGGTGTGCGCCTATGAATTGGATGAGGCTTTGATGCGATTTTCAGCAAATATTTTCAACGGCAGCGCGGTATACAGTGAGACGGGTGAAATTCTGTTGCCATTGATCAACAACGAGGACGACCTGTCAAAGTATGTTTAATCATTTGATGTATGCGTATGTGTAGTATGCATGTGTGCATATGTACAATCGGATGCGCTTGTGTGAATACTTGTTAGTTAGTTTCTATTAATCGCAGTATACGCTGGCATGCGAACAGAAATACACCTTAGGTGCTCTTTGTATATCATATGTGTGTATCTGTTCTGTTTCGATGGTTTGTGTATGTCGTTGATATCTGTAGCCGTCGGGAACGAGCGAATATCACGTCTTCCACCATGCACTCACGCCCACTTTAATCGTCTCTATTTCCCTGTGGAACCTTCGTAGGATTATGCGTTCGCTAGAAATCGATGTAATCCCCAAAATGCGCCTGTGGGAATATTATGTGTGCGATGTAGACAAGGAAATGGACCTTTTCCGGGCCAAGGTATGTATACTTGCTTTGTTTAATATTCTTGTATTGATCAGATCAATATATGTATGTTGGGCGAGTGCTTGCGTGTACGAGTGTTTGTCAAATCAGTTTTCACGAGTGTATGTAGTCGTCGTATGTATAGACATATTCGTGTATATATTGACGGGGTTGGTGTGCCAGATCCATATCGTATACGCAGCGTTCATGCGCGCAATATATGTAAATAATATGACGGAACAAGTATGGGGATGACATGTGTATGCAGCCATGCTCATGGCTTATAAACCATTCAACAGGTCAAAGACTTGCCGCTCCACACGCGCCCAGAATACATGGCAAACATGAATGCTCTCAACAGACTGGACCACCTACGCCACAGGCTCTCGGAACAGATACGCCAGTTTAACACCAGACACACACCCATCGACCTGGATGTGTGTGTGGAACATCTCATGTGTGAAAACTTTGGAGGTAAGTTGTGCGGCGTGTGTTGTCGATATAGTTTCCCATCAGTGTGCGTATAAAAGTATACCTGACCAAAAACTTTCAGTGTGTTGTCGAAAGTGATGCTCCGATAATTAGTCATAGACTAAACGCTGTATATCATATCACACGCGCAGATTCTAAGGAATACATCACCCGAAGAGCGTGTGAAGATCTGCACCAGATGCTCAACGAAATCAATATGGGACGGTACGAGAGCTACACCCGTGACATTTCGAGCGCATTGATGGCCACGAGAAACACAGCCAAGTACATGCGGATCGGTATGAGGTTGTGGTTGTGTTTAAAATAGATTCGGACAGTCAATAGCACACGCCGTATGTCTAACCTCCCACATGGCTGACGAGCCCGTATCTCCGTAGCATAGTACTTAAAAATCTCCTCTATTCTCTACTCTCACCTTCAGATGAACACGGACCCAAAGTAGGCAATATCAGCCTCCGCTATCCTCTGGCATACACATACTTCACGCGTCTGGGCGAGTCTAAGGCGTGCGGTGACTACAACTCGTCGTTTGGCGGCACGCCCGAGTACCCTCTTAAGTATGATAATATCATGGACAGTGTCAAGGGTGCGTATGTGCTGGCTAACAATGGCTGGATTTGGGGCGGAGATGCGCTGCACGACTTTGCTGCGCCGGGCAGTCATGGTATGTATTGGTGATGTGTGCAGGTAGTTCTAATGTATGTGCGTTGTTAGTCCATCATGTGTGCATGGTTCGTACTTCATATAT